TGAGTCATATCATCAGGAAACTAGCGTTATTTAAATGAATAACATTAACTTCCAAATTCCAGTGCAGGAATTGTTAGGGGAAGAGAAATATCAAAATGCTGAAATAAGGATATGGGATGACCCATTGTAACAATGAGATGTACAAGACAGTATGTCGAAAACGAACTTTACAACTTTGGGGGAAGGTGGGGGAGAGGAGGGAGGAGCTGGAGAATGGAGAGGAAAGGGATGGTAGGGGAAAAATAAAGGAGGGTTTAACATGCTTGATAGGAAATGGACTCATTACCTTGCTCATGTAACTGTAACCCCTCTGTGCAGTGTGTGTGTGTGTGTGTGTGTGTGTGTGTGTGTGTGTACAAAAAAAAAGATTCAATTTACCTGGATAAATCTTTGCTGGGTGTAACTCAAAACAAACTCCACAGATTATGGTTGTAGCATCAAAGGCTACTCAAATAATAAAATCCTACTAACTTGCTATTTTTAGTATCCTTTCACTCTTCATTTCCATCTAACTTACTGGCACTTGGAATATCCTCATCCTATCCAGTTACACCTAGGTTTTCTGGAGAGCCTGCTTGGAGGTTCTGGTGGAGAAACACAGGTACTGATGTGTCTTGTGATGGAGCTATGGTCATCTTCTTTTGGAAGCCACCCTATATAAACAAGCAGTTTCAGGATGGAGTAGTGAGGGAGGAAGGCAAGGAAGGGATACTTACTCAGTCATCCTACTCAGATGAAGGAAGCATGGTACTTAGTGGAGTGACTAGTGTGGTAGCTAGATTACTTTCAGGGAAACTGGAGAGAGTACTGGTGTTGAACTCAGGACTTTGCCCTTACCAAAGAAGTGCTTTTCTACTTTGAGTCATGCCCTTAGACATTTTTTGTTTTAGTTATTTTTCAAATAACTAAAATTTTTCTGAGGGTAACCTCAAACTGCAACTTTCCTGCTTTCTTTTTTTCTTTTCTTTTTTTTATAATTGTGAAAATACTGTACAGAGAGGTCACAATTACATGGGAAAGATAATGAGTACATTTCTTTTTTTTTTTTTGGGGTCCGGTCGTGGGGCCTGAACTCTGGGCCTGGGCACTGTCCCTCAGCTAGCACTCTACCACTTGAGCCACAGTGCCACTTCCGGCTTTTTTCTTATGTGGTGCTGAGGAATCAAATCCAGGGCCTCGAGCATGCAAGACAAGTGCTCTACCACTGAGCCACCTTCCCAGCCATGAGTACATTTCTTATCAAGCATTGTAGCCTCCTCCTTTGTTTCTCCTTCCCATCCCTTCCCATCCACCCCCTACCCCCCCACTCAATCCTCCCCACTCCTCCCCCCACTAAAGTTGTAAAGTTCGTTTTCGACATAACGTCTTGTACATCTCATTGTTGCAATGGGTCCACCTGTATCCCTATTTAGATGATTTGTTTTTCCCTTTCCCCTCCACAAATTATACCTACATCAAATACAGTGAAAGCAGGGGTTATACTGTGGGGGAGGGACATACAAAGCAACAAGGAAATAATCTTATAAATGTGTTAGAAACGATTGCATGAAAGAAAAAAAACATTTGAATACATATCTTAGGGTTCATTTCCCTAGCATCACCTTATCTGGCCTTTTCTGCTTAACTCGGACATATACTAGATATTGCAAATAAGGGAAACCATGGGACCTATGTTTCTTTGGGCCTGGCTAACTTCACTTATAATTATTTCCAAGTCTTTCCATTTCCTAACAACTCTCCTGCTTTCACACCTTGAGTAGAGTATTGCAGGTTTGTGCCAAAGCTATCATATCTTTGGTCTCATTTTCTTCACTGTAGACATTCCCTTAGTGATTTAATCTTATTTGATTATAGATTTATCTATCATTTTTATTCAGTGACTTCCAAATTATATAACCTGGACATTTCTCCTAAACTTTGTACTAGACAAAGTTTGTCTAGTACAAATTATATATATATATATATATATGTGTGTGTGTATATATATATATATATATATATAGCCTTATTATATAGCCTTATTATATATAGCCTTATTACTTGATTACTAGATTATATAGCCTTATTACTTGATTACTAGATTAAACTTCAAATAGATACTTCCATACTTACCCTTTGCAAAATGACACTTTCAGTCATTTCCTATAATTCACTCGACTTCCAGCTTTTCCCAGCTAAGTGGGTGGCAACTCCATCCTAGGATAGCTCAGCCCTAATTTTTTAAAGTTAATGTTTTTTCTCTTCCTCTCATATACTGTATTGAACCATTCCAGGGCATCTCTATGGCTCTTCTTTCTTCAACCTACATTTGAGGATGGTTGAATGAGTGTACTACAAATTGGAAAAATAAGGCTCAGAGAAGTTAAGAAAACAAACACAAATTCACAGTGATGAAGTGATAAAGTCAGAATTCAAATCTATTAACTATAATATGTTCTTTCACAATACTAATACTTCTACAATGTGAATATTTAATTTACCTGATTTACACAGTTCAGAGATATGATTTAACCTACCATATAACTGGATATTTATAAACAATATTTTTTTTGTTTGTTCTGTTTTTGTCAGTCATGGGGCTTGATTTCTAGGCCTGGGCGCTGTCCCTCAGCGCTTCAGCTCAAGGTGAGTGCTCTACCACTTGAGCCACAGTGCCACTTCCAGTTTTCTGAGTAGCTTATTAGAGATGAGAGTCTCATGGACCTTCCTGCCCAGGCTGGCTTTGAACTGGGATCCTCAGGTCTCAGCCTCCTGAGTGGCTAGGATTACAAGCATGAGCCACTGGTGCCAGGCCAACAATTTTCTTCTTTTATGAGCACATTTTTAAATTATTGTCAAGGTTGTTATACAGAGGGGTTACAGTTACATAAGTAAGGTAATAAGTACATTTCTTGTCAAACTTGTTTCCTCATTTTTCCAGTTTTCCCTATCCCCAACCCCCTTCCCACAAGTTGTACAGATTAACACCTAAACAAAGTGTTTTATCTATTAAGTCTATAGGAACTCATTGTGCCCTTAGAATTTATTTTGTAAATATTTGTTAATTCACTTGAATTGTGTAATATAAATATACCATCTTATTTTGCTTTTCATCAAGAACTATTTTTATTTTATTTTATTTTATTTTTTTTTAATTTAATTTTATTTTATTTGAGAACATACTGTACAGAGGGGTTACAATTACATGGGCAGGATAATGCATACATTTCTTACCAAGCATTGCAGCCTCCTCCTTTGTTTACCCTTCACCTCCCTTCCCAGCCTCCCCCCTCCCCCCTCTCCCCCCCACCCAGTCATACCCCCCCCCCCCCCCCCCGACATTGTAAAGCTGGTTTTGACTAAAAAACCTGGTGCCAGTGGCTCACACCTGTAATCCTAGCTACTGAGGAGGCTTGAGATCTGAGTATCACAGTTCAAAGCCAGCCTGGGCAAGAAAGCCTGTGAGACTCTTATCTCCAATAAACTGCTCAGAAAATTGGAAGTGGCGCTGTGGCTCAAGTGGTAGAGTGCTAGCCTTGGGCTGAAGAGCTGAGGGACAGCGCCCATACCCAGAGTTCAAGCCCTACAACTGACAAAAAAAAAAAAAGAAGAACTATTTTTAATTGTAAGGCATAAGATATAAATGTGTGAAAAAAGAGGTATATTCAAAAAATTACATTAACAAAAGGTCCTTTCCAAAGATCCTTTTCAAAGATTTCTTGCTATGTCTCTAACTTTAGAAAATGTATTAGCTTTCAGGGCCTTATTTTCTGTTTGTTGGCATTTCATATATGAAGTATTAAGCTTACTAACAACCATTTAAGATTAACTAAGTGCAGAACTATTATTTAAATTATTTAGAGTTTCTCTCAAAGGCCTATGAGGTCATCGTATAGCTTTATGCCTCCTAGATCATAAATTCTTTAAGATTAGAGTGGATAAAGGGCAAAGAGATGGGGCTTGGGTAGAGACAATAGAAAATAATTTGTGTTGACTAGATTTTTGAAATACCTGTTTTACTTATGTCGTACTCATAATTTAACTGATGTTATTTCTTGCTTATATAATTGAATGAGGCAAAAATGAAGAATAATAAACTGAATTTTACTTGGGTTGGTGATTTTGTTAAAGAAGACAAGATTACATTTTCCTAGATAAGTCTGTTGTCTATTGATGTGAAATAATTACAAATCTGGCCAAGACATTTCTTTTATGCATATGTAAAATAGTTTTCTTTTTTTTTTGTCATGGGGCTTGAACTCTGGGCCTGAACGCTGTCCTTCAGCTCTTCTGCTCAAGGCTTGAGCTCTACCACTTGAGCCACTGTGCCACTAAGGTTTTCTGGGTGGTTTATTGGAGATAAGAGTCTCACAGACTTTCCTGCCCAGGCTGGCTTTGAACCACGATCCTCAGATCTCAGCCTCCTGAATAGCTAGGATTACAGGCATGAGTTACTCATACCTGGCTTAGGGTTTTCTATGAAAAAAAATTTAAGTACAGAGACTTTGGGATTATTTTCTGTATTTTTCTCTGTTATATTTGCATGTAAAATGATTTGTTTTACTCCAAGGTTGAATATTTAATTCAGAAGAGCAATTTCTGTAACTTAACTTCCATGTGTCTGTTTATCTACCTACCTATGTGCCCTTGCTTTGGCAGAAATACTTTGTAAGGAATGACTTCTACAATATGACTTTATAAATATTTCCTAAGGCAACAGGATGATCTGTAGAGCATAACAAAAAAAACCAAACAATGTCTAGTAATTACCCTCTGGCAACTGAATGAGTTAAAGGTAGATAGCAACTACAGCTATAATGACATATATTTAGAAAGCAAGCTGAAATTGTTACTTCTGTTAGCAAACAAACCTAAAATAAAAGTTCAGAAAAGAGACATTTTATTTCTGGAAAATGTGTTAGTTTTGTTAGCATTTTCAGTGATGGATATGTGTGAATTTTCATACTGTGAAATAAACTATGATAGACGATGACTATATTGCTGTGTTTTCTTTTTCCTAGTGTATGCCAATTAAAGGCCTCGGATTTGTACTTGGAGCCTATCAGTGCATTTGCAAAGCAGGCTTCTACCATCCTCGAGTCTTCTCAGTGAACAACTTTCAGAGTAAGTGCTTTCAAATTCTATGCATGGATGACCTATATCCTTGATACTTTAATTCACTTAAACCATCTCAGAGTTCTCTTATTAATCCTCATTTATCTGTCATTCTTTGATCATTTAAGGAATTTGAGTTTTCTTTTGTCATATGTAGTGCTCTGGACTACCACAAAAATATATGCCTGTTTTGAGTGTATTTTACTTTTAAAAATGTATGTATTAGGTAAGAGAATTTGGGATTATTATTTGATAATTACTGCAAACAATTCCTACAATTAATTTTGCCAGTTTTTCATTTCATTTATTTATCAATGGGCTCATCTGTTAGTTTTCCAAATTTTGTGAAAAGCTACACAGTGAGCAGCTTAAAGTCACATAAACTTACTGTCATACAGTTTCCATCGTTGAGGTTGTGAGTCATGTCCTAGCCAAGTCCTCTATGCTAGGTCTCCAAGTGAAACTCAAGTATCATCTGATGTGATCTCTTAGGGCTGAAGGTGCTTTTGAGGACTCTACCAGATTATTGGAAGTACTCTATTTCTTGCTGAAATTTGAGGCCTGAGGTCCTCATTTGTCATGCGAGATGTCTTCCTGGGGTTATTCTAGCCACCAGACCCTTTTATAATGTAGACACATACTTCTTAAGAACCAAGCTGCCAGAGGAACCTCCCCAGCCTGCTAACATAGTAATGAATAGCAAAGTGTAACCATGAAAATGGCTATCCTGCTATTTTGCCATGTAATGTCATCTAACCAAAGGAGAGAATAGTCCATCATATTTACGTGTTCATCCACACTCCAAGTGAGAAGTTATACAGTATTTATACTCCAAAAGTGAAAATGAATCAAGTTACCTTATTCTTATTCCAGAAAAATATGTTATAATTTAAATATTGATGGTTCTTCCTCTTGAGAATGCAGTATTCTGTATGTAATAGCTTGTAGCAAGCAACCAGGAGTGTAGTGGTTAAAAATGGTGGTTTAGGGCTTGAGGTATCACTTAAGTAGTAGAACATTTGCTTAATAAGCATGAGGTCCTGAGTTCACAGACCAGTCCTAGATGAAAAACAGAGCTGAGTTTTTATCAGTTTTGGGGTTGCTAAAACTGAAGTAAATATTTTTATATAGATAGCCATTAATCTTTGTTAGCCCCATTATTGGTTTTATTGTAATACTTCTTATTGTAATAGTTCAAGTATACTTTAAGGCACATATCAGAATCTATGGGAATTTATAAGTTTATTGATAGAATTTTTTGCACTATTTTAGAAAGCATTATTTTTGATCTTGAAACTACACTGAACTTTGTATTGAACAAGTTTCTGGAGATGTGGAATTTTTTTCTATCTTCAATCATGTGTTTTAGAGTTTAGCTTTTGCTCTGAGTAATAGTTGTAGGCAAGATTTTAAATGTTCTCCCAGATTTGTATTCCAGATATATTTCAAAATCCATTCTCCTTAAGTAGGAGGGAGGCCTGTCAATACAAATGGTTAGTTGCTCCCTTGTTGAGGGATATTTTAGTCCATTTAAGTATACTGAAGTCGAATAAGGTTCATCACAAATGAAGAAATGGAGGAAGAAAAGGAAAGAGACAGACAGAGACAGAGAGACAGGGAATCAGAGACAAATGATTGAAAGATTCCTGTCTTTGGTTTGAAGAAGCAAGCTACCTTACTGTGAGAAGGCCATGGGGTTACAGACTTCATCACAGTAAACTCCACTTACAGTTAGTATGAAAACAGGGACCTTAGCCTCACAATTGCAAGGAAGTAAATGCTTCTAACAATTGGATGGACTTGGAAGAGGACCAAGAACTCCCAATGAGAATTATGATGACTGAAATCTTGATCCCAGTAGGTGAGACCATCATTAGAGAATACAGTTAAACTATACCTAACTTGGAATCAATAGAAACTAGAAAATAACAAATAGATGATTTAAACTCCTAAAATTTGGAAATTTATTACACAGATGTAGAAAAAACACAATAGCAATGACGATAATCTATTCATGATAGTATTGCTTTTCTGTATATCAAACCATGACAATGACAAAGCTACTCTGACATTCTTCACAGTTAGGGGCCAGACAAAAACATATGATTCATAACACTGAAGGATTAAGGGAATAAGTTTTAGCTTCTGTTCTGTGAAGGTATTTTGTATCTGGTTTACCCACATTTGTTCTCAGCTCCCACTATGTGACTGAAATAAAACATCTAAATATTGTAGAACTAGAGAATGACTATGCCATTTGCTTGTAACACCACTATGAGAAACTGGTTAACCTTTAACAAGTTATCTTTATTTAATTTGCACATTCCTACTCTCTTCCTTATTTTAAAAGGCAATGGGTTTAAAAAAACTGGACATACTCTAAGAAAAGTCTGCTTGTTTGCTTTTTATGTTTTTGTTTTTCCTTTTTATTGTTTGTAAGTCTAACTCCCATGCTATACACATTACAGCCACAGAAGAGAGATCATAGTTTTCAGAATAAACAAAAAGATTTATAATTTGGGTACAGCTTTGACCTCAGCATGTACTTAACCATAGCTGACCTTCCTTAGTGACAGAGCAGAAAGGTACCTATTGCTATAATCTGAAGAAAGTAAGTACGTGTTGGCAAATCTATTTTTCCTGATTACCTTGTCAGGTAGCATGAAAATCCAACATAAATCACTTCTTGTCCTAAAGAAAAAGTACAACAACCTGACTGAGAATATGACCTATAGTATATCAGGTTTATCAGCCAAGGACTATACCAAAATTTTTATACTTCTTGTTTATTTCTAGGATATATCACATATCTCTGCATGTAGAGATGTTGTCATTTAATGATATCATCCAGAAAAATTACATTGTTATTTCTATATGCTCTTGAGGAGGCATACATAACATAAGAAATGACTGCATGTAGCCCTGAAGCAAAAGGTGAGAAACCATTGGAGCTAAGTGCTGTTGCTAATGCCTATAATCCCAGCTCTGCAGGAGGTAGGAAAAGGGATGAACTTGGCTCAAAGCCAGCCTATGCAACAAATAAAACCTTATCTCAACAAACAAGCCAGAAATAATATTTATTTATTTATTTTGCTGGTTGTGGGGCCTGAACTCTGGGCCTGAGTGCTGTCCCTCAGCTCTTCAGCTCAAGGCTAGCATTCTACCACTTGAGCCACAGCACCACTTCCAGCTTTTTCTGCTTATGTGGTGCTGAGGAATCGTACCCAGGGCCTCCTGTATGCAAGGCAAGCGCTCTACCACTGAGGTACCTCCTCATCCCTGATATTGCATATTTCTGATCCTAGATATTCTGGAAGTGTTAATAAGAGGATTATAGTTCAGGCCATTCCTGGAAAAAATCTTTGAGATCATCTCTGAAAATAAAGAAAATATAGTTGGCAGTGTGGCTTAAATGGGAATGTTCCTGTCTATCAGGTTCAAGGCCCTGAGTTCAGTCTTAGTACTGGGGAACAAAAGCTTTAGAGACTGAAAATATGAGATAACAAGAAAACTGCCAAATTCCATGGCATATAATGACTCAATGGGTGCGGTTAAATAAATGAATACACACACACATACACATACATATACAAGCATATACAAGTGTAAAGTGTTATTGATACTCATAGAGCTAATCCTTAAGCCCCTCTTCCCATATTTCAAATATTTTATTACTTTAAGTACTTTAATTAGACATTTTGGAGAATGACTTCTCCATGTATTGGAAGGATGCTCTGGCAGCACTGAGAATGCCAATGGGAAGGAAGAGCCCAGGGGGTTAAGAGGAACCAGGAAGGAATATGGTTCCCTTGCTTACTAGGGAGAATGGGATATAGGAACTGCAAAAACATCTTAAAGATAAAATTCACCTATTCATAATGCAATTCTGTAAAAACACTCCAGTTTTTCCATTTCTCTTGTAGTTTTGTATCCACTTTGGAAAGAATAACTAGGCTTTGATGCTGACCTGTTAGAGAAAATGAAAATATGGAGGTTGAAATAGTTCATTAAAATGTGAAGTGATTTTTTAAAAATCCTTACTTAGTTCTAGGCCCATAGTAAACAAAAGGCCTGTAAAGACTAACAGGTATATATTCAAATGACAGGATTTGAAATTGTGCTGACAGCACAGAGTCCTAACCAGCATCAGTCTTGACATCTGTGTGTCTATGTGAGCTGATAGGATCTGACACCTAAAGAGCAGCCGGATTTCAGGATAACTAAGTGGTGATGTGTAGCTGCCTATCAGATCCAGGATGTTCACTTCCAGGATAATGAAATACAGGCTGGTAACAATCTCATCATTTTCCTCAATTTTACCTTTCTTAGGATGGATTCTGTCTTCAGTGAAAACTCTTCTTTTTTATTGGACATACTATCAGTTTTTTTTTTCAGAGTTTGTTTTATTGTTGAGGTGATATACAGAGGGTTACAGTTACATAAGTAAGGCAGTAAGTATATTTCTTGTGAAACTTGTTATCCCTTCCCTCATTTTTCTCCTACTCTCCCTCCTCTCACCCCTATCCCCAAGTTGTACAGATCATTTCCAACATATTGTCTTATGTATATTGCTGTTGCATTGGTTCCCACCTTGTCCCTTGTCTCACCATTCTGTGTTCCCCCTCCCTTCCCCAATTCAAATAAATGAATATACAGTACTAAGGTACCAGAATCAAATACAGTGACAACAGGGGATATACCATAGGGGGAAGAACATACAAAGGAAACAAATCTTTTAGTCTTGTTCCTTATGCTTTTTGGATTCACTTCAGTTTGTCTATTATTTTCAGATAAATGCCAATTAGCAAATAATCCCTAGCTAAAAATAATAATTTCTATATGGCAAACTGTAGAGTATTTTTGTAAGAGGAGTATGGCAGTGGAAAGAGGCAAAATATAGAAATCTTAAAGCAGTGTAGCTTGGGAAGAAAGAGGATATTCCTTGAAAGAGATAGAAGATAAGGATGCTGAGCTAACCTGTATTAGGGCTGATCCTTTTTCTTTTTGTC